GTTTGGTGAAAAACCGAACAAAAATGGTGAAAATCGACAAAGAGGGCGAAAGGTCGCGGTTTTCCGGCGAGGGGGAGAGGATTCCGGCGAGAAGATTTGAAGTTTCTGACCACGCGGCCGTGTCGGCCGAAATTTAAAGGCTGGGCTCAGCCACACGAGCAAGCTCACACGGCCGTGTGAGGTGCACATGTGCCCGTGTGGGCCGACACGGGCAAGCCGAGGATTTCCACACGGCCGTGTGAAAAGCACAACTGGCCGTGTGGAAATTGTCGAGAGCTCACACGGCCGAAACCCATTTTCACACGGCCGTGTGACTTTCAGGGCTGGCTGTATGGGCTGCCAGAACTCCGAATTTGACCTGTTTTCACTCAAAAACGACATACGACTCGTGAACAACACCTCAAGACTCAAAAACACAAAAAATCAAAAGGAAAAAGGTAAGAAAATGCAAACCTAGGTGGGTTTGCCTCCCCACAAGCGCTTTTTTACCGTCTTTTAGCTGGACGCCAGTAGAGGAACTAAGGGTCATCGAGCTTGATCAACAGCTCTGAGCGCTCGACAACACCTCCCAAGTACAACACGGTCACCTACCTGAAACTCCTTCGGGCCCCTTAACCGAGCGTCGTGGAGATGCTTGGTTCGCTCTTCGTAGAGCAGGGTGTTCTCGTAGGCGTGGTAACGCCATTCCTCCAAGTCCAACAGCTGCAACTTACGTTCAGTACCTGCAACACTCAAATCCAGGTTTAGCAGCTTAATGGACCAGAAGGCCTTGTGCTCTAGCTCTACTGACAGATGACACGCCTTCCCATAGACAAGCCTATAGGGAGAAGTGCCAATCGGGTTTTTATAGGCCGTCCTATATGCCCAAAGAGCATCATCGAGCTTGGTGGACCAATCCTTGCAGGACTGATCCACCGTCTTTTCAATTATCCGTTTAGTTGTCAGCTCGGCTTGCCCATTTGACTAGGGGTGGTAAGCCACCAACACCTGATGCTTAACACCATAGCGAGAGAGGAGTTTAGTGAATTGCCCTTGAAAATGGGTTCCTCTATCACTAATGATCGCGCGGGGTGTCCCGAACCGGGAGAACATCTGCTTCAGAAATGAGCAAACCCATCTTGCATCATTGGTGGGCATGGCTTGAGCTTCTGCCCACCTCGAGACGTAGTCCACTGCAACCAATATGTACTACAGATTGCTAAAAGATGGAGGGAATGGGCCCATGAAATCGATACCCCAAACATAAAAAATTTCACAAATGACAGAAATATGTTGGGGCATCTCATCCCGGGCAGAAATGTTACCTGACCTTTGGCAGCGGTCGCACTATCGTGCGAAGGTGTCTGCATCCTTGAAGAGTGAGGGCCAATAGAAGCCCAACTGTAGTACCTTCCGCACCGTGTGGTTTCCTCCATGGTGACCTCCAGTAGGTCCCTCGTGACATTGAGACAGGATGTCTCCTATCTCGTGCTCCATGACACAGCGTCGGATCACGCCATCTGCTCCCACCCTGAAGAGGTAAGGATTCTCCCAGAAGTAATGCTTTAAGTCAGAGAAGAACTTGCGCTTTGCATGAGTGGCCATCCCCTTAGGTAGCTGCTTGCCCACCAGATGATTGGCAAAGTCAGAATACCAAGGGACCACGCTTTCCACCAGTGTCATCGCCAGCAATCTCTCACCTGGGAAGGAGTCATTGATCTCTTCCATGAAGTTGTCCATCGGAGGGGCTTCCAACCGTGAAAGATGATCTGCAACAACATTCTCGGCTCCCTTCTTGTCCCGTATTTCGATATCAAATTCCTGTAGGAGCAGGATTCTGCGGATGAGCCTAGGCTTTGCATCAGCCTTGCTCATCAGGTAGCGAATCGCCGAGTGGTCAGTGTAGACCACCACATGGGAGAGCACCAGATAGGGTAGGGTTGGAACTTATCAAACGCATACACCACGGCGAGGAGCTCCTTCTCAGTGGTGGTGTAGTTCTCCTGTGCATCGTTCAAGGTCTTGGACGCATAGTAGATGGGCTGGAAGTGTTTCCCGCGTCTCTGACCCAGAACTGCTCCGGCTGCATAATCACTCGCATCGCACATCAGCTCAAAAGGAAGAGACCGGTCAGGAGTCACCATGATAGGTGCATGGGTAAGCTTCTCCTTCAGAGTCTCGAATGAAGCTGTGCACTCAGGAGTGAACTGGAATGGTGCATCCTTCTCCAGCAGCTTGGTCAGAGGCAGTGCAATCTTCGAGAAATATTTAATGAAGCGTCGGTAGAAGCCTGCATGACCCAGAAAACTACGAATCCCCTTCACAGAGACGGGAGGAGGTAGCTTACTGATCGTATCAATCTTCGCGCGATCCATCTCAATCCCTTGCTTGGAGATCTTGTGCCCGAGCACAATCCCCTCACGGACCATAAAATGGCACTTCTCTTAGCTGAGTGCCAGATTAGTCTCCTCGCACCTCTTCAGAACGAGTTCCAGGTTGTGGAGACAATGAGTGAAGGAGTCTCCATAAACCGAGAAGTCATCCATGAAGACTTCCATGATCTCTCCGACCAGTCGGTCCAAAATCGCCATCATGCATCTCTGGAAGGTCGCCAGTGCATTACACAACCCAAATGGAATCCTCCGGTAAGCAAAAGTGCCGAAGGGGCAAGTGAATGTGGTCTTCACCTGATCCTCTGGTGCAATAGGAATCTGGAAATAACCAGACATGCCATCCAGGAAGCAATAAAACTCATGGCCAGCCAACCTCTCCAACATCTGATTAATGAAAGGTAGGGGAAAATGATCTTTCATGGTGGCGTCGTTCAGGCGCCTGTAATCGATGCAGACTCTCCAGCCGGTCACGGTCCGCATCGGGATCAGCTCTTTCTTCTCATTCAGGACCACAGTCATCCCGCCTTTCTTCGGGACCACCTGAGTGGGGCTGACCCACTTGCTATCAGATATAGCAAAGATGATCCCTGCATCCATGAGCTTCACAATCTCTGCCCGGACCACTGCCTCCAAGTTAGGAGACAATCTCCTCTGCGGCTGCCTGACTGGTTTGACCTCATCCTCCATCAAAATTCTGTGGGAGCAGAAGGATGGGCTAATGCCTCTGATATCTGTGATCTTCCATGCCATGGCCCAGGCATACTTCTGCAGCAGAGCCACCAGCCTGCTCTTCTGCTCGGGTGTCAGATCCGAGCTAATAATGACTGGGAGCTTATTCCCCTCCTGGAGAAATGCATACTCCAGGTGAGAGGGGAGGGGCTTAAGCTCCAGCTCTGGTGGCTCCTCTAATGATGTAGCAATCCGGGGCGAGATAGGGATCGACTTGAATGGTATCTCTCGCCCCTCGATCGCGGCCTCGTCTAGCTCTGTGATGCCTGTTCCCCTAGCAAAAGATAACGCTCAAGGAAATCGTCAGTACCCGCACTCGTGATGGCGAGTGCGGTCTCAAAATCAGCAACAACATCACAGTAATCTAGATCATCATGGAGCTGGGGGTGTTTCATATTATCAGAAACAGAGAAGGTGATTTGTTCACCCTCAGCTCGCAAAATCAGTTTTCCATCATTCACATCAATGAGCGCCTTGGCGGTGGCGAGAAAAGGTCTACCCAATATCAATGGCACATCCACATCCACATCCTCATTTATGTCCAAAATCACAAAATCAATAGGATATGAGAATGGCCCTACTGCGACTATCAAGTCCTCTGCAATGCCCCTAGGATGCACAATGGATCTATCAGCAAGTTGAATGCTCATCCTAGTATCACTGGGTTCACCTAGGCCTAGCTTTTTAAACAGTTTATATGGCATGACATGTATGCTAGCGCCTAAATCCGCCAAGGACTTCCCTATAGGCAAACTACCAATCATGCAAGGGATAGTGAAACTCCCTGGGTCTTTTCGCTTCTCAGGTAGTTTGTTCTGCAGGATGGCAGAACACTCCTCGTTGAGCATCACCGTTGACAGCTCCCCAAGCTTCCTCTTGTTGGTGAGGAGATCTTTCATGAACTTGGCATACTTGGGCATCTTCGATAATGCCTCCACGAAGGGCATGCTTATATTCACCTGCTTCAGCATTGTCATGAACTTGGCAAACTCAGTCTCCAGTCGGTCCTTGTGCAACCGAGTAGGAAAGGGGAGCTGGGGTGCATACTCCTTCACCACTGGTTGCGGTTTAGGAGCAGGCACCTCAACCTCAACCTCCTTCTCCATTTCCTCTTCATTAGCTGGAAGTGCTGAAGCAGGGGTCTCTCTCTCTTCTGCCCGAACAGGTGGATCGACAGTCACCTTGCCACTCCTGGTTGTGATGGTATTGCAGTTGGCATTCGTGTCCTGCGGATGAGGGATGGTCTGACCGGGTAGAGTACCAGGATTCCTCTGAGCTACAGCCTGGGCAACACTCCCAAGCTGGGTCTGGATATCCCGAAGCACAGCCTGCGTGTTTCTCTCACCAGCTTCTAGCTCTAGGAATTTGCCTGAAGCTTTCTCCATGAACTGCTCGATGTTATTGAACTTGTTTGCACTGGAGGTGGCCAGAGAACCCACCAGATCTCGCAGTTCCGCCATCGGGTCACTTTGTGCTGGGGCTGCAGGTTCTGCCCCTGTTTGCTGAAATGGCCGCACCTGTGACTGAGGTGGAACTGGCCCCTGTCTGGGCGGGTAGAGAGGCTGTTGTGGCTGCTGAAATCGCCCCTGTCTGGGCTGGTACGGAGGCCTCTTGAAGCGAGGTTGTCCCAGGGAGACTGGTGGTCTGGAATTTGCCCCACCCCATGAGAAGTTGGGATGCTGGCGCCACCCTTCGTTGTAGGTGTTGCCGATGAAGTCCAGCTGCTCCTGAGGAGTAGAAGACTCCCTCATTGCCTGTCAAATCTCCACGATCGATAGCTGAAACCAGCTTCGATACCACCTGCACCAGATCAGATGACTGGGTGGATACAGCGTGCACACCCGTCCTGGTGCTCGTCTCGATCTCCTCGCAGTTCCCCAATCATAGCCCTGCTCTGCCATCTCTTCAAAGAGTTGATTCAGCTGTGGCGGTGTTTTGGTGAGCATATTCCCGCCACAGACTGAGTCAATCAGCTGCTTGTCATTTGAGAATAGGGCATGGCAGAAGGTGCCCACCTTGAAGGCATCAGTAAAACCATGGTTGGGACACTTGAGAAAGAGACTGGTGTATCTCTCCCAGGCATCTCAGATGGTCTCGTCTTCATCCTGAGCAAAATGGGTAATTTGCTTCTGCAGGTCCGCCGTCTTGGACGGAGGATGGTAGCGAGTGAGGAACTTGTCCGCCAGGTTGGCGAACGTGGTGATGGAGCCTGGAGGTCGAGTGTCTAGCCACTCCTTGGCCTGCCCCTCCAGAGTAAACGGGAAGTACCTCAGCTGGATGGCATCTGCTGGGACCCCATTTATCTTGATTCCATCGATGAGCTCGTGGAATCGCCTGAGATGTGATCGGGGGCACTCCCCCTCTTTGCCACGAAACACTACCGAACCGCGCAACATGGTGATGACGGAGGTGCTCACCTCAAAGTTGTTTGCTAATACATGAGGGTGTTGAATGAGTGACCTCATGTCCGCGGCCCTGGCGGTCCAGTAGTATTCCATGGTCTGCTCCTCGGGAAGGACCACATCATGGTCCTGTGGATCACCCATCTCTTCTTCTTCGGCGATTTGCAGCTGTGCTAGCGCCTCCTCCGCAACCAGTTGTGCCTTTAGAGCACGCTTGAAGTTCCTGCAAGTTCGTTCAAGCTCCTGGTCTAATGGTAGTAGATCTCCCGACTGGCTACAGGTCATGCACTACCTGCACACAATCCGCAGAAGCAACCCGTGAAGGCACACAGGTGGAAGAGATAAAATGCAATAAAGAAAAACCAAGAGTAACAAATTTTCACGTTTCCCCAATAACCTAGAGGGTTCCCCGGCAACGGCGCCAAAAACTTGACACGCCAAAACACAACACCAAACTGCGACCAAGTGTAATCGCAGTCCGGGAATGCAGTAAAGTAGCATGTTCTAAATATCAACCCGGGGTCTAGATCTACTGCCTACTCCGTGATTATCTATTATCTAGCAAACTAAGTCGATTGATTTTTGGTCTTAACTGAAAGCAGAAAGAAAGCAGGAATTGGTTGGGTTTTCTCAAGCAAAAAAGAGTCACTCGGGAATGAGTCCCCCTAGCTCCTTAGTTAGGTCTCAATTGTAATTACCCTGGGTTGATTTACTGTTGATTAGACTGCGGAAGATCCGACAGTAGCTTGGAATCTCTTAAGCTGAACAATCCCTCTCAGTCTAACTACCCGGCAGACGACTAGTCTTCCTCGGGATTGAAAGCTGAAGCAATAAGCACAGAACTCCACTACTGGAATTGGATTCCAGTACAAAGCAGTAGACTGACTAACTCTCGTATAGCCAATCTCCTACTACCGAATGAAGAAGCTCTAACAACATAATCAGATTCTATCTATCTCAGGTTGCAGCAGAAATCAAGAAAAGCTTATCATACTTTAATCAATTCAATGAAACATGCATCATTCGATTAAAACGAGACAGTATAATCATCCCAAGTCATTACAATCAAATCCCTAACACATGGAACTAGGATTCTTCATACCCAAGTGAGAGAAGGGTTCTACTCCATAGAGAGAGAGAGAGGAAAACAGAAATCAGAGTAGTCATACTCATAAAGATGAGGAAAATCTGCTCTGGGATGTCAATCTTCACTCATGGGGACGCAATCTGGGCTTCAATGGTGAGAAATCCACTCCAAATAGCTCCTAGGGTTTGTTCTTCGCCCTTTCTCTCTCTAAAACTCTGTTTTTGCTCTGAAAAGTCCATTTCCTCACTTGTGGCTCGACATTGGGTAAAAACCAGAATTCCCGACTCACACGGGCAGGCCACACGGCCGTGTGACTTACCCAGATGCCCGTGTGAGAGACAAAACGCGGCGTTTCAAATAATTGGACTTCAGGCTACCTACACGGCCAGATACACACTGCCGTGTGGCATGCCCAGACTGCCCGTGTGAAGGCTCGTACAATCCCACACGGCCACATTGGTTCCTCACACGGCCGTGTGGATTTTATGGGTGCCCGTGTGGCTTCCTCAGCGACTCGCCACACGTCCGATCTTCGTCCAATCGACCCCGAACTCGCTCCCAAACCTTCATTCACGTACTAGGACCTGAAATATCACAAACAAGCACAACCTAGCGTGAAATCGGCCGAAAACACGAGAATCAACATCTCAAACGGCTCAAGAATAGGGGTAAAAACATGTGCAATTAACGGTTTATCAGGAGGGCGTGGTTTATCAGCTAATAACCAATTGTCTTTGAAGGCTTCTATGTCGTTTCCATCGCCTACTTGCCATCGTAATCCTTGCAAGAGGAGCTCTCGCCCATAGAGAATACTTCTCCAACCCCAAGATGGATTAGAGCCAATGGAGGCTTTCAAAATCGTATTTCCATTGAAATATCTTCCTTTATACAATTGGCTAATGAGCGAGTCGGTATTTGTCCAAATACGCCAACATAGCTTGGCTAAAAGAGCTTGATTGAAGGCCCTAAAATCCCTAAAGCCTATTCCTCCATGAAATTTACTTTGGGCGAGACCTTTCCATGATACCTAGTGTATTGGATGATCAAAATTAGTAGCAGACCCCACCAAAACCTTGCCAAAAGGCCATTTAAACGTCTACAAGTATCAACTGAGAATTTAAAGCATGACATACTATGAACTGGTATATTAGTTGCAGAGGTCATGATTAGAGTATCCTTAGCTGCTCTTGACAGGGTACATTGTTTCCAACCTCGCAATTTCTTGCCCATCTTTTCCTCAATATAGAGGAACGTATCCTTCTTGGTTCTTGGTATTAGAGATGGAAGGCCTAGATAAGAATCATGTTCTCCTATAGCCCCTGCTCCCAACTGCGATCCCATGAGGCTTGCATCTTCACTCTTAGTATTTCTACTGAATAATAGATTCGAGCAAGAGGCGCGAGAAGCTTGTACGAAAAGGTAAGAGTCATCAGCAAAGAAGAGGTGAGAGATCATTGGACAGTTCTGACGGATCCTGACTCCTTCCAAGAAGCCCATGGTTACTGCCTGATTTATCATAGCAGAGAAACCCTCTATGCATATAGCGAATAACAGAGAAGATAGAGGATCGCCTTGGCGTAGTCCTCCCAAGGGTCTGAAGTACTCTGAAGGGGAACCATTAACGAGGATGGAATAGGAGACAGTGGTCACACACTCCTGGACCCAGGATACAAACTGACTATTGAACCCTAATTCCTTCATCATTTCAAAGAGAAATGACCACTCAATACGATCATAAGCTTTCTCCATATCTAATTTTAAGTCCATCCAACACTTTGAACCTGAGTAAAGGGTTTTAATATGGTGAGTGACCTCATGGCTGATCATAATATTATCTGTAATCTGGCGATCCTTGATGAACCCATTTTGAGATTGAGAAATGATTGACGGCAAAACCTTGCTAAGTCTATCGGCAAATACCTTGGATATAATCTTATATACCACTTGGCAAAGGCTAATGGGTCTGAGGTTTTTCATTGTACGAACTTCTGACCCTTTTGGCACTAAGGAAATCCAAGTTCGATTAAAACATCTCAATAGTCTTCCGGTATTGAAAAACGTTAGAACCGCCTGAGTAACTTCTTGTCCAACTAGGGGCCAATAATGTTGAAAGAAGCCGGTTGTGAACCCATCTGGACCTGGAGCTTGAGTTTTGCCCAGGCTGAAGACCACTTTTTTTATTTCCTCTGTCGTGATAGGAGCTATTAACCCCAGATTTTGTTGTTTCGTAAAGTAGTTTGTGAATACTAGATTGGATAGATTTATCCCGCTCGGGTTTTGACTTTGGAAAAGCCCTTGATAGTACCTCTTGGCTATGCCACATTTTTCTACTTCTGAAGTACACCAGATTCCTCTTTCATCCTCGAGCCCCCAAATTATGTTATTTAGACGCCTTGTAGAGGTAACTAAGTGAAAATATGGAGTATTTTTATCCCCCACTTTTAACCAATTAGTACGGGACTTCTATTTCCAATAGATCTCTTCTCTTTTATATTGGATGGACAAGTTCTCTTCCAAGGAGGGAATTAAATTCCAATCCACCATATGTTCGTTCCTGGCTTTTTCCAAAATAGAGTTCGGGTCGTTAATCAATTAGCTGAATTGGATTGGCCTCCTTTACGCCAATCCACTAGGGAGTGCCTTACTCGCAACAGTCTAGAGAATAGACAATGTTGCACAGAGCCTAAAACTTGTGAATTCCAAATGTAGCTAATAATTAGCTCAGCCTCTGGCATTGAAGTCCAACGAATATCAAATATGAATAACCTTTTAAAATGAGGAGCCAAGATACTAGTAGTCAGCCGAAGAAGTCGATGATCTGACCCTCTATCCGAGAGGTGGTATAGGGAAGAGTTTGGCCAAAAGTTCATCCAATAAGGTGAGACAAATACTCTATCAATTCTTTTCTCAATTGTGATCCCATTCCTGCCCCGATTCGTCCAAGTATACTTAGGCCCTTGGAAAGGAGGTTCAAAGAGGCCAGTTTGGTGAAGGAAATCCCACAAAGGACGAGCTTTGTTCGTACGCCAAGTTGCACCTCCTAATTTTTCCGATGGAAATAGTGAGCAGTTGACATCCCCTATGATTAGGAATGGATCAGATTCGGTTACTCATAGTTATGCACCATAAGATTATGCACCCTATCTTGAGCCAATGGAGAGTGGATGATTATTGTTAAGTCGTATTCCAAAAGGGAAATTTGTGATTGTGAGTAAACCTTGTGTAGGTATGCTTAGTAGGATTGTCTAGAAACCATGGGGCAAGTTCCATCGACGACTACTACGAGGCTATGGGTTGAACATGGGGAATATGTTAGAAACCGAATTTTATCGGGTTTCTATATTTATTATTATAATAATTATTAGGGTAATTCTTATTATGGTTAGTAGTCTTCTAGTAGAATTAGGTTTATTCTTAGGGTTTTCTAGTATTTCCCTATATATATGTACTTTGGGTCATTCGTCATATTAAGTAGAAGTTAATAAAGAATTATCTCCCTAAATTCCTATCTCAATCCTCTCAATTCTTGATCTCATTCCTCTAAAGGCTTAGGCTGATTATTTTATATTCTTCCCCAAATTCTCTTCTCAAATCCCTAAATCCCCAATTCTTTTATATAAACCCTAAATTCTCAATCTCTAGATCTGATCTAGAGACCCGTTAGAAACTTGTTTCGAGAGCGAGTTCATCAAACTCTCAATCAGAGATGGACGTATATGAAGAATTCATACCTAGGGTTACTAAATTGATGACCACCTCATTCATTCGAGTGTTTGTCCGCTTTTCTGGGTTTAAGCGTGCACATGTGGTGTCTTCCTCGGGCATAATAACAGTCCGTAGAGAACGACCGTTGGAGGAAGAAAATCGGTGGATGCATTTTGAAACGAATATCAAGTTCAGATCAGATTTTGATACCAAAGAATTTGATGCTGGGTTGAGATACGGCCTGCTCACCATCGAAATTCCTAGGAGCAAATCTCCATCGACAGCTACAGCGGAAAGCACACAGCTCGCTGAACCCGTTGCGATTCTCCTGCCGCCAACCGTCGCAAAGGAGGAAGAAGGATTTGTGGCCGAGGGAAAGGAAGAGTCGGCTGCCACAAAGGAAAAGGGGTCGCCAACGGATGCCGAAGAAGAAGGGTTGACGACGGACACAACAAAGGCCAAGCCAGCCCCTACAATCACCGACAAGGAGGAAGCGGCTACCACCGACCAAGAAATTCATGTTGCCGTTCCATGCCAGGCCGGTGGAGATTATCACTGCTGTCCAACCACAGCCTCCAAGAAGGAAGGTCCCGCAAACGTGGGAATCCATCAACCATCCCAAGACCAACCCGTCATCGGGGGGTCTGCCGCTGGTCCAGCCGTCGAGAGCTCTACCAACGCAATGAAAACCCCAGCTCCTTCCTCGGTCGGGAGCGCTCGCATGCAAGCCCTTGCGATAAGGGTGCAGTCCTTACGAGGCGAAGTTGGAGGGAGTGAAAATCAATGGACGAGAGGTTTTTACTAAGGTTTGAGATTTCCTGTTACTCCATCTAAATTAGTACATCACCGACCAGATGTAATGTTGGGAGTTAAGTGGAAGGACAAGGCATGTTCCATTAATGGTGCTTGAAAAGGGTTCGCGATGAAGGTGAAGTGGAGGGATAAGGAGAATAAGTTGCAGGATATGATCAATTTCTCAACGAGACGAGGTGACCAGGTTTAGATCCGACTAAAAGGGTGCGCTGAGTCGACAACGATCAGCTTCGTGTCGTTGGTAACGAGATATCTCGCCAAAGATGCCAAGAGGATGCTAAGCCTATCTTTCAGTTAGGACAACAGAAAGAGGGAAAGGAAGAAGCAGACTCTGGATGGACAAGATGGTAAGCAAACACATGCTTCGTTGGGTTCTCAAGCTGGTGAGAAACAAGAGGCGGCCAGCTGGGAATTCCTTGTTCCAATTGCAGCAGGTTAAGCTCTTTGTGCATTGTACAGGTCGAGGCGTAGTAAGGAGCCAAAGCATTATACGGAGTCGCCTCTTGGGGAGAGGTTTGGACGAGTCATCAAGTCCGCCTATGCTGCTATCCTTGTTGTAACAACCAGTATTGCGGAGGAAGTTGATGTACAGCCTGAGGTGCGAGGGTCGTGGTTTCCCCCTGATAAAGAATGCGTAGAAGGTGAGGCATTGATTGTATTGGATCTATCATTAAAAGGGGGAGTGGATTCTGCATTTTAGTGTGGGGTCTTTGAGAACCTTAAGGGTTCTAATTGTGAAGAAAAGGGCCAGTGGGCGATTCTACTTGTTATGCATGGACAGCTGGGAAGGAAATTGGAAAAGAAGAAGTTTCATGGGCCTACTGGTCGTCGAGAGAGAGATGATACCCATATTCGGGCCAAGAGAGACTTTCTTCTGTTATCTAGTTCTAGTTCCAATAAATGGAAGGAAGAACTCTCTCGCATCAAAGTTGTGTTTTATTATACTCGTCCAACGAAGGGGTTCTATTTGGGTGACGAAGCAAGAAAGTGTCAGCTAGGTGTTTGGGAGGTGGACAACGTTAAGGGGCTGGTTGTAGTTGAAGGGACTCGCAGGTCGGCAGTGATCAAGAGACAAAACAAGGTTGACATGGCTTATGAGGAATCCTGGTTCACTAAAGGGCATCCGTACCATCTCCAGCCGCTGGTGCAAAAAGAAGAAGCTTGTGGTGGAAGTTCAGGATGTGACGATTCCCCCTGGATTCAGTAGAGCCTTAATGTCTCGTGCAGGGGGGGTTCATGGAGGATGGAAATTTTGTTATCACCTGCTTAGAATGCAAGTTCAAGGAAGAAGCTCTCACTTGAAGTGGTGGCTCGGCTGTACCCCAACAAGTGAGGGTGAGATAGTAGCGGGTGCTACAAAGCATCCCTTTGAAGAGAACAAGAACGTGGGGTTTTCGCATTCTTATTTTGTGGAATTTGATATGAAGGGAGCCTGCTTGTGTGAGGCAGCGATGGGAGCTACTTGGGGTAGGAATCGTGTTCGAGTGCTTGAATGTGATTGGAAGAAACGGAAGCGCAAGAAATGGAGTAGTCAGCGTGCACATTGCGTGAGAAGGAAGGAGGAGTGGGTCAAGTGGATCAACCTTGAGGGCAAGTTGGTCTGAAGGGGGAGGAGATGTTAGAAACTGAATTATATCGGGTTTCTATATTTATTATTATAATAATTATTAGGGTAATTTTTATTATGGTTAGTAGTCTTCTAGTAGAATTAGGTTTATTCTTAGGGTTTTCTAGTATTTTCCTATATATATATATGTACTTTGGGTCATTCGTCATATTAAGCATAAGTTAATAAGGAATTATCTCCCTAAATTCCTATCCCAATCCTCTCAATTCTTGAACTCAATCCCTCTAAAGGCTTAGGCCGATTCTTTTCTATTCTGCCCCAAATTCTCTTCTCAAATCCCTAAATCCCCAATTATGTTTTATAAACCCTAAATTATCAATATGTAGATTTGATCTAGAGACCCGTTAGAAACTTGTTTCTAACAGAACACAATGAGCAAGTTGACGCAAACATGGGTCTCGATTGTCGACCCATTAATATAAGTTGAGTGCAAAGGGGTAAAATCTTGGTTGAGGTCTTTTAGTTTGTGCATTTACTTATAGTAGTTTAGTTAATTTTGAGTTATTCGCGGTTATGTGTGTGAGGCATCCCACTGCCTACTTAAGGTGGAGGCACGTACTGTGCTATGTATGTGATGTATGTTTGTAATAAGTTGAACCCCCGTGCGGTTGGGCCACTACCGGACGTGATAGATGGTCGGGTCACTACTGGATGGTGATACATAACCGAGTAGACCAGACATGGACTCGACGACGATACGTTATGTAGTACCATTGCCTTGAGGATAGGGACACAGTTATATGTAACGCGCCGAACCCTAGTAATAAGTTATAAGATAGAAATAGAGGACTTCTACAAGCTATTAAGGACTAAAGTATTCAGGATGAAAGCGAGAACGACTTTTATGTAAGAAGAAGTAAAATTCTAATAATTTTTTAGTAAGGTTTTCTTAGGAAAAGACCTTAGAAAGTAACGACGAGACTTACCCCTTCTCACTCACCAGGTTTAGGAAGGGTTAACAGAGGTAGATCTCGAGAAGAGGCTGGGTGAGGCGAGCTGTCGTACCAGCATGGACGAGGTGTCAGGGAACTCAACAAGGAGCTAGATCTAGAGTTAATTTAATTATTTTGTTCATGATTATGAATATATGTACTGGAGATTCAAGGTTCAAGATTCTCGGCTAAGTTGTTTTAAGCATTTGGATTGTGATTGCCCAAGTGTCAGGGCTTTTTGTTTGAGATTTTTGAAAAGTGTCATTTGACGGTTATTGAGTTGACTTTTAAATTTGGTATGGGTTGCTCCGGTGTAACCGGTTTCAATTTAAAATTATGGTTTGATTTTCGGAAAAAGATTGGGTTGTTTCACCTAGACCGTGATCTCGACCAAAAACGCATCGCTTCATTAAGGCTTTTCACGGTATGGGGCGGATTTTCATGGTCGAGGATCGTGAACTAGGCAAGGTCCAGTGAGGTGTCGAAAACCCACTGGTGACCCTGACAATTGCATCCAAACCGTGACTTTGGATTTTTCTTCACTTTTTTGCGCTTTTCGAACTTCAATCTATCCGAAACTCTTCCTCGACCTTCCCACACATGCTAGGATATGAAATGTAACAAAGCAACAACCTAGTGTAAAATATGTCGAGAGACGATGAAATGCAAAGTCAAACTATCAAGAAATTAGGGGTAAAATGTGTACAATTGGACGCGAATCACACCCCCTCACTTGAACGTTTGCTTGTCCCTATGCAAACCAATCTCAAACAAGGTAATATTTCAACCTAACAAAAATAACTTGGGGACATATCAAAGGGCACACAATGGATGAATCTCAATGTTTATTTGGCATCAACACATGAACGGTTACAAGCAATACCGACACCCACCACAAACGAGCTTCGAATGCATTAAGAACGTGCAAATGAAAAGTTCTCACCTTGTTCAAAAATCAATACAAGTCTCGACAAAACTACTCACCAACCAAAATTAACCATGCGTAGAGTTCAAGTCCAAGTAACAAAAAAATGGGCGAACTAGGTCCTCATCGGGATAAGATATGAACATGCAAAATATGAATGAAAATCACTCACTCTCGACCAGTGGGGTCTGGACCATTTGGTGCAAAAGATGTGCACAATCAAAATTGATCTCTATCATTTATTCACCACGGCGGCAACCTCTAAATGCTAGAATCACAAGATGGTTGTCATCACTAGCTTGGCCGGAGGTCTTAGACACGGGTTCAAATGAATGGAAATTGTCTTGGACTTAGGGAAAAGACCTTTTGGGTGGTGGCAAACAGAGCACGAGGTCCTACATCTTCAACCTAAAACCAAAGGTTCTATGGTTTCAACTAAGAACCTTTCCTACAATCAACGGCCACTAGCATCGGCCAAAAACCACACTTCCCTTCTTCCAAACCATTACCAACCACGAATTACATTCAAGCACACTTCCTTGACTAATCCTACTATCCACAATTCAAGCATAGTAGAAAAAGACGTCAACAAAAAATTTAGGTGTTTCAATGGCTTGAATGCCAAGAAACCCTTTCTGGAGCATACACATCATTTCATCATGGCAACTCTCTATCTTTTATTTACCCGTTTATTACCTCTTTTCGATTCCTTTTTCTTTTCTTTCTTCTTTTTTTTTCGAGGGGGGGGGGGGTACTAGAGAGCTAAACACAAGCCACTTTAACATTTAACAAACAATGCTCACCATTAAGAACTTCCTCCAACACTACCTGTTCATTCCTAGCAAGAACCATGCAAAATGCACCTATGTAGAACCTCAATGGATCTCAAAAGAAGGAACTCCGAGACACAAGGATGACTCACAACGGTTTAGACAAGAAGAAAGGAAAAGGGTCGTTCTATCAATCATCATTAAGATCAAAAAGCAAGAAGGTCCTAACATGAGAAAAACTCAAAGTCACACAGCTCAAAGGGGTTGAGTAGGGGATAAAATGTTTCGGGACAATCAACTTTTGGGTGTGGACTAAACCTATGCTTCCATCATACCCACTAGTGAAAAAGAAGATCGACACAAAGCTCACATGGCTACCTAGCCACCCAATCATTTATTCCAATTTCACAAATTTTGATGCATGGCAATTGTAATCAATGAGTAACCAAGTCAAGACATCCATTCATTTACACACACACATGAGAACTAAACACTTGCACCAACCTAATTCTATTCTCAATCATCATAATAGGATGCACTCGATCACAAGCAAACAATCCAAGGTCAAAGCCAATAAACACACAAAAAAACACATACTCACGCAACACGAGGTTATTACACAATATTAGTACTTAACATAAAACAAACACAAACTTTCGTTCGGTTGCCTCCCAACAAGCGCTACTTTTGCGTCAAGCTAGACGGTTTCTCCTTAAGCTTTAGTCCATCCGAGAACCTCCTTGAATTTAAGGTTCTCATCTTCGAGGGGGAGCCTCACGTCATGAGAATATGGAATGACATTCGATGATGACTCATGAACTGGAGTGAGATGAAGCCGTCATCCTTGAGACCTCTCCTTCTTTCCATCTTCTTTCTTCTCTTTGCCCCCACCATGTAATGCATCATCGATTGACTTCCATCACATCCACCAAGAGGGATCACCGATTGTTTGGCCTTGGCTTGGCAAAGAGCCGCAATTGGGTCCTTCTTGAAAGCGCGTCAATGTCGGGTAGAAAGCATTGGAAGCACTTATAACTCGTAGATGCTTCATCCACCTCGACCTCAACCTCCTCTTGATCACCACTTTCACCTTCCTCTTTTTCCTAAACATCCCTTCCTTCTTCAATTTCTTCCCCTTGGGAACAATCAAGATCTTCCCTTTCTTCGATTTTCACTTCCTCTTCCACAAACTGCCTTCTCTCTTCCTCTCACTCTTCTCTCACCTTCCCATTTGTTTCTTCAAACACGATTTGTAGGGCAAGATTCCATAAAAGATCATAGAAGGGATTCTCTTGCTCCTCTTGCCTCGTGACTTGGTCTTCAAGGTTGTTCACGGGAAGGGTAAAGTGATTAGAGTCGCAATGAGACACTCTTGACAATCCTCACCACGGGTGCTCTCCGGGATGATTACTTCTCGTTCCACATGGTCTTCATTGACCTCCCCTCCTACCTCCATTTCTTCTTCCAATTATGAGAGGCGATGGCGTGCACAAGCTCGTCCCACCTTCTTTTCTAGTGTCAAACCGAGATGAGGGAGAGGCAAAAAATCCATGTCGGAGCTCATTATTCTAAAGTTCTCAAGGCTCACCTCTCCGACTTCCTCTCTTCCTTCAAATGGTAGGAGACGATTGTGGCAAGTTGGGCACATGCTTGCTCAACCAACCCTCCTAGCCTCTCCATGTGTCGAAGGAGCTCCTCTGATTCCCGAAGAAAGGTTGAGTCGAAAGGGTAGGAAATTGGGAGGTCCATCATAGAGCACCCTTCATCGGTGCCTCGGGCAAATCGCTCCACCATGGGCTGTAATTCTCTCTTTAGCTCCGGTTTTGGAGTGCACATGGTATTGAAGTTTGTCCAATGAAAGCCTCCATGGCCAACAACAACTTGAATTTCATGTCGAGTTGTGGACGGAAACCTTCTTGATATGGGGATGCTTCTTGATATCCCCCCGAGTATGATTGCTCCTCTTGGAAGGGAGGTTGGTAGTAGAACCTGGATCCTTGACTTCCCCCATTTTGACAATCCCATGAAGTTCTAGGGTAACCACTCTCGGGTGGTGGTGGATACCCCCACACTTGGGTGAAACCATAAGGATCCATGATTCAATACCTACAAACACAAAAACACTAAATAGAAAAATCAAACACACAGAAATCACCCTTCAAGACGAACTGTGGTAAACAAAACACAAACGAAACACAAGACAAAAACAAAAGGCAAGATAGAAAACGCTAGAGTAACACTGAGCCACTTTTTCAAAATAATGGACCACAGTTTCCCGACAACGGTGCCAAAAACATGACTCACCACGGATTACACCGTTAATTAAATCTTGACTAGAGCCCAAGTATAAACTCTAGTCGGGTGTAGCATAGGGCAAGTATGTTTTAATTGCCAAGCGCGAGCCGGTCCATGTACCACTACTTCAATCACTTAGGTTATTATATAGAAAATGGTTTTGGATTTCAAAAACTAAGAAAACTACAAAATAAACATACAAGAAAAGTAAATCGAGGTTGTTCCAATGTGAGAAGAATTCACCCGGGTATTGCTCCCCCTAACTACATATCAAGATTGACCAAATCGAATGCAAATGTATGAAGGTGTGTTCATACACTGTAGGAGGGTGCAACAAGTGCAGGAAACCTCACTCTCTTAATCAATCGGTTAAGGAAAACAGTTAAGCTAGGAACCCTAGCTATCTCAATCAATGGATTAAGGATTGCTACAATAAACTAGAAAATCTAGCTCTCTTAACCTTTCGGCTAAGGATTTCAACAATAAGCTAGGAGTCTAAGCTCTCTTAACCGATCAACTAAGGGTTACAAGAACCAATCCCTTGGAACTTAATCCAGACGGAAAAAATAACAACCAATCAAGATTCTAAATCAAAGTTTGAGGTTTGCCCTAATTCGCCCTAGGTAGGTGGCTCAATTGGCCAAGGAATCCAGCTTAACAAAGTCTCCTAACAAAAAGGGGCTTTCCCTCTACCTAGGTAAAATTGGCATAGTAATGAGAAATGAAAAATACAACCCAAACATCATGAAAATACCTCCAACTTTGCATTAAACACAAACCCACACACAAAGCATTCAATCAATACAATCTATCACCTACAAAAGGCTAGAGTTCACAATACCCAAGTGAAAAGAACACTACTCCGTGGCTAGGCAAGAAGAGAACAACAAAGAAGAGAGAAAGAACCATGGTGGATGCTTGTCTTCCCTTTTTGTTGATGAGAACTCACTTGAGAGGTAAGAATCTTCAATCCACTAGCTTGAAGTAAGCCCAAATCCTCCTCTTCTCTCCTTGTTGACCATTTTCTCTCTCTCTAGATTCTAAAGAAGAAGACCTCTCTCTCACTAGGGTTTCATCTTGGGGTTTCTTCAGTTCAAACCCTAGAAGGGAACCCAGAAAATCTGAAACCAACCCAAGGATCCAACCCCCCTTCTCCTCCAGCCCACTTCCCTTTTTATACCCAGATCGACGGCTATTCACTGTCTTAGTTTATGGCTGTGAACTATAAGTCTGGACCGTGATCTCGGCTAGAAACGCGTCATTTCATTGAGTCTTTTCATGGTCTGGGGCGGATTTTCACGATCGGGGACTGTGAACTAGTTGAGGTTCAGTGAGGTGTGCAAAACCCTCTGCCGACTGTGACAATTGCATTCAAACCGAGACTTTGGATTTTTCTTCACTTTTTCGTGCTTTTCGAACTCCAATCGACCCAAAACTCGTGCTCGACCTTCCCACACATGCTAGGACCTGAAATGTAACAAAACAAGCACAACCTAGCGTAAAATAGGTCGAGAGACGATGAAATGAAAAGTCAAACTATCAAAAAATGAGGGGTAAAATGTGTACAATTGGATACGAATTAGTTGCTCAGAATTTAGAATCTTACTACTTCGTATAACTCGCACATTGATCGAATTGCACATAACGATTCATGTTTCGTTACCTCTAAGACATGTATGGGACTAAATACGAAGGTTTTGAGCATTGGTTATTTGAAGTCCATGAAACAAATTATTTAGCAATTCCAAATTATGGATGTATATTGTATAATGTATGGGTGCTTGCTAATTAGCAAGATTGCTAAATTAGACCAACAATACTACTTGGGATATACAAATATGTTGTTATTTCTAATTCTCATTTTTTTATTATTGTATACAAATTTAATATAATGGAATTAAATTTTTATGGGAAAAGAGGCAGACCACCGTGTGATTGTTTTCTACTTTTCCTCCTAAGTAAGTGAAAGGTGAAGAAGCTAAAAAGAGGTAGACATTTGAGGTAGGAGCTAGTGTGCTAATGATATTTTTTTTGTTAGCATGATGATAACACTAGTTCAACCAATAGGAATATATCGTTGAATGACTTTTTCATTTTAAAGAGTTGTCCACAATTAATGAAGGGGAAGGAGCATAGGAGCACAATGGTTATTAATAAAAATTAGGAGAAGGGGGAGTCACATGTGGAATTAAATGGTGAAGGAAAAATCCACCCAACAAAATCTACCCCACAAACCGCAAAATCCACCCCACAAAATCCTCCTCACGAACGAAAAAATCCTCTCCACAAAATCCACCCTCAAAATCCTCTCCACAAACCACAAAATTCATGCAACAATCACAATATCCTCACCACAAAATCCAGGACACAATCCACCCCACAAGTTTCTTAAAGTGGCCTAGAAATTTCTTTAACAGTGGACCTGTTTGTAAAATTTAAAATTGTAGGTAACACATTTTAAGAGAACAAATTGTAGGTACTAAAATATAATTTTTCATCAATATTTTTTGAACATATATGTAAAAAAAATTAATTTTATACACTAAATAGTAACATGTATTAAGTTTTAGTATAAAACTGTAATTTTTAGAATACCCTCTGTTATAACTATAGATGTCAAAGCATAACCCGATCCGACTAATCCGCCCAATCAACCCAATCCGCAACCCGACCACAACTCGAATTGACTAAAAGTCAACAACCCGTAACCCGCCCGATCCGCAACCCGCAACCCGACTGGCCCGCAATCCAATTATCCCGAATCCGATTGACCCGCAACCCGATTAATCGCAACCCGATTAACCCAAACCCGATTGACCCAAACTCGACTAACCCGTAACCCGACCGACTAAACCTGAACTTCATCTAATCCACTTGAATAATTATTATATTATATAAAACATAGTTTTTCAAAATAAAGTTTTTCATTCTAAACTTGGGTAAAATTATTTTTTCATTTCGTATAATGAATTTAAAAATATTAAACTCACTTGATATAATGTATTTTGAGAAAATTAAAAAAAATTGATAAAGGATTGTTACTTGAACTTATATATTCGCAACTTATATATTCTTAAAATAAATGTATGATACACATACCCTCACTCATTCATCAACTTAACGAGTAACATATATTGCATGTAATATTATTTTCATACATTTTTATTGTTGAATAATTTCATGAAAAATATTTGCAGCATGAAAATTACTACATTGTTGCTAGACATGTCTGCTATCCGAGAATAATTTGGGAAGTCCGTACACAACTCATTGCCCAACTAACTATTGGCGACAACTTAGCATCATGTCTTATATATTTCAAATCAAGCAACTTCATATTCATTACCAACAGTGTGGTAAAAAAGAATGCTCTCTATTGGGAAAAACTTAAAGGACATACTAAACACTATGAGACATTTTCTTTCATCCTAAAGGTTGATTATGTATGTATTATGAGAAGCAACTATAATATTCAACTATATGGTTTAATTAAGTAATGAATGACAATTAGTTATATTCTTTTTTCATTCAATAATTATATGTAATGCTTATATTATATTTTTTTTCTCTTTTTATGGAGGTCTAAACACATTATGCATTGGTGGATCATTTTCAAAAATGTTATGTGCATAAATAAGATAGAAAACAATCATTTCATGCATTTCAAATCATCTATTATATACATTATTATATACCATATTTCTCGAGAAAATTCTTCCGGCCAACGGGCCGGGCTCTGTGCTAGTTGATTATGAAAGAGAAATAAGGAGGGAAATTGTGAGTTTTCAACTTTTTGTGAAAATGAAGGAATGAAAATGGAAATTTGATTCTTCAATTTTATGAAAGAGAAAGAGAAGCAAAATTTGATTCTTTCAATTTTATGGAAAAGAAATAGGAAGGAAATTGAGTGTTTCTAATATATGTAAGGAGAAAGGAGGGGAATTTTAATATTAAGTTTTTTTTTGTGAAAAGAAAGAAGGAAACAAATTTAGTATTTTCAACTTTATGATTTTTCAAAATTTTAGCATTTGAAATATGAATCTATAATTTTTATATGGAGCGCACGATTAACTAAATTTATTCTTATATGCTTTTAAGGTTATTATATAGGGTAAATGTTATATTTGGTCACTAAGATTACAAAATCATATCATGTTTATACCACAACGTAAATGTACAATTTTAAGTTGTACCATAAAAGCAAAAACCTATAGCACCAATACTATATAGCATTGTAAAATTTCTCTTGGTTGGAGCAATCAAAGTTATGAAGTAACGAGAAGCACGTTGGATAGCAAATGGATTGTAAGTTTGAACAGAAGACAAAATTGATAAGCCAAAGCATCAAACACTGATGCAGCGATGAAGGAACGCACTTGTTGGCGTGGATCCAATCCCGGCCAAGTAGTGCGTTGTAGCTTATCATTCCATCCACCACGAAGAAAGCAGTCATCCGCTTCTGTGATCCAACTCCCACGACAACTGGGAGGATTCCCCTGGCAGAAGTGGACCCGCCATTGAAACTTGTCACAAACACTTCAGTTGGGATCAAGTCATTGGTGCTCTTGCCCAACTTCTTCAGCATCCTTGTTGGCATCACATTTACTGCGGCACCATTGTCAACTAAGACTCTCGATATTGGTACGTCATCCAGTGTGGCCTTGATGTAGAGAGGCCTCAAATGACGCATCATCTTCGGCTCGGACTCGTTGAAAACAACGACCCTGTTTGATTCCTCACCCGTGGTTCCTTCGTCCACGGCTTTCCCCTTCGCTTCTGCAGCCCAGATAGATTTATCCAGCTCGTCGAAGTCTGATCTCCATGTGATGTTCTCCACTGGCACACTTGTTGACTCTTTCAGGCCTTGGTATAACACGTAAAAAGGATATTGACTCGACTCTACTGTCACCCCAGGAATTGGCCAAGTGTAACCACTTCCTAAAGCGTAGTATAGCGGGTTTAGGTTTAAATGTCAACCCGGGTCCTAGATCTGATGACTACTCAGTGAGTTCTTGTTATCTAGTAATGAAACTGGAATGCAAGTCTAAACTACCAAACAAACAAAGCAAGTAAATTGTTGTATTCAGGTTAAGAGAGGTCACCCGGATATGGTTC